TTGATCACTAGACAAGAAATGCTTGATTTAACACACAAGCGAATATGTGATTCTGGTGTACTATGAAGTAATTACTGAGATGGTAATTTGATCATACTTATAAATATGAATAAATTTATATTGCCCAAGTTTATATTTCTCCATAATATACCTTATCCAAGTCGTTTGGAATTGATAGAGCACTTCAATGGGATGGTGTCTTGGCCGCATACACACACACACACACACACACACACACACAGCAAATCAATTGGGGGGGGGTCAAACCTGAAGATTGAAAACTCTGAAACGCCTGTCAATCAGCCTTATTCCTTGAATGCCTGGCATACTTGAATCTCTCGAGCCTCCTTCATACTATTCACCAATAAAGATAGTGCAATTTATATGCATGCCGGAAACTCTGATACTGGCGTTTGTATTTGTCAAGGCGAAAATTGCGAGCTCAGTACTCCTCGGAAGAACATCTGCACCACTAGAAGTACTAATTAATAGTTGTTAAGTTAGAAGTACCCGAATGCGATAATCGTTATGCCACTCCAATAGATAAGTATTAAATAAAAATTTCGCTCGGCGGTCATTAAGGATATATTCTCTCTTTTTTCTTGTCAATAAAATAGAATTAACAACCCAAATATGTATTTTATCGGGAAAATATTTCATGCCTTTTGGGTGAAATTGAAGTCAGTTTCTTTTTGACATCCACAAGATCTGTAAACTCGAAAGATGAGTTAAAATAGCAACAACAATAGCAAAATCAACAAGTTATTATTGGTGTATTCTGCCAAGATATTTGAAAAAAAGCTTGAAAACTACACTTAAAATGAAAGGAGCGATAATTGCACTTTTGGAAGCTTGAGTTAAAGATCAATATACGCGCACTCAGTTAGTGAAGCTACCAGTCACTTTCGTTAGGACTTGCAATTAAGCGACTCACCGAGGAATTTTTTATGACCTTCTTCGAGTGGATTTTCCTTTCGGGTAGGTGTCATCCGTGTTCTGAGTCAGGTGTATCCTGATAACTTTAACGTCAATTTGGACAAAATTTGAAATATGCGCTAATTCACATTAATAAAGAGAATGAATAATCACCTTAGCGAATAAGTTGGTGAAAGAGAAGCCGATAAAACTATTTTTGATTCTAACTAAGCAGCATAAACTTGTCCCCCCGGGGGCGCTCGCAGTGACTTATTTTACACCAAAGTAGAGAATTTTGAGCATCTTCCTTAATGTAGCCAGGTGAGAATTGGGAGGCTTCTAGTGACGCAAACGATTCTCATCAGTTTCCATCCAGTTTTGACCGCATCTGATGCAATAACTAGAATCTAAGCCACTTACAAATAAAAGATTTTATTGATTAATCTGACTGGGATTCAAATATATATATATATATATATATATATATATATAATAGCTGGTGAGTGTATGTAAACAATGAACTATAGACAGAATAGCTGGTCCATCAACACTGCGAAAGTATACTTGCATTGCCTCTTAACTGATTACATCTCCATTACCTCATATGGGAAATATCATCTCATGCCTTAAAAACGAGCGCCTTTAGGTTATATTGGAAAGGGGTTACACCAGTGCCATCTCTGCAGATTAAAGTTCGTTTCCTCTCTCCATTTACATCTGATTAAGAGGTCTTGGAAAAGCCCGCGGAATTAATTTAATACGCAACTGTTCAGGCCAATATGATCAAGGTAACAAGGGATTTTCCATATTATTTTCAAGGAAGAAACTGAATCTTGATTAATGTAGTGAAATGCACGTGATCTTGTGGAGAAAGTATTTGACATGGACAAAAGTAATGGAATTCGTTTGCGAGCAATGGCAACTGTTTTTATTTTCAATACTAAATGGAAATACTTTTATTTGAGTTTAAAACTCTATCCTAACTTTCAACACTCGGTAAAAATTATCCAATAAATCATTAAGTAAATAGCTATTTTATTAAGTTTCGCTCATTTAGTCAAATTAGGCTATAATTAATTAAAGTTTCTGAATGAGAAATCCCTAATACACTTTTCCATTATCGAGTCACTGTCACATTTATTTTTAACTTCAAAAATATGAGAAGTTAGTGAGTCTTATCGGGATATTAAAAGTGTCCTGATTGGGGGTGTCCTAGATCGGCTTTAATTTAACCAATGAGAAATAAATGGTCACATGATTAGAGCTCATATGTAGGCATTTACGAGGCCCACTGAGGTCAAACTATTACCCCCTCCCCCCCCCCCCCCCCCCCCCCTTNTTTCCCCCCCCCCCCCCCCCCCCCAACTCACTTTAAAAGACCACTTAGAGAAAAAATTAATAAATCAAGTGAGACCTTTCTATGTCAAAATAATCAAATCTACTAACAACCCGCTTAAAAGCTTTAGTGACCAAAAGTAAGGAAATGATATTCCCAGGAGATTCCCTCTTTATCGCGACACTACAAGCTTTCGAGAAAATATACAAGGGACATTTTAAATGGATAACTTTTTTCCACTACAATAAACAGGAATTTCTGTTACCTAATCGAAGACGCAACATCCAGGTGTATACAAATTTAATCCGACTATTCAAAAATTAATTAAAATAAAGTATATATTCTTCACTTGAGGTTGAAGTGTTCTTATGCGTTGGCCAGTATTGTGAGGCTCCATTGTAGAAAGTGCATCAAAAATTAGTTTAGCCTAATGATTCTTGCTAATCTCGCATTGATCGCAGAATGCACTTATACGCTGACCTACCAACATTATTGCGCTTGACTAACTGGTTTCGGAAGTTCATCGTCGCCCATTGATTCACCACGAAGATCTCTACGTATTGATTGCAACTCACCATTGTGGAAAGCAGCAAAGGTATGGACAACAAACGATAATGGGAAGGGGAGGGGGTAGGGGATCACCAAGAACCAGAGATCGACTTCAAGGCGTCAAATGGTTTAAGTCAATTTGGTTTTGGACTCGAGTGGTGTGATATTCACTGAGAATGACCAGTTCATGTGCTACTATTAAAAGTTCATGATTGCAGCATATGATTGACTATGATGTCCAGTGCTTATGCACCCCTTTTGGTAAATTTGGAAGGATCAAACACTCCGCCTCAATTTGCACTTTTTCTTCTAATGGCTGAATAGACAATGTATATTCAATGATAAATTAGGCTTCAGCAAAGTATGGAGAGTGATACAAGTTCTAAAATAAAGTAGACCATTTCATTATATAGGGATTTTGGTCATGGAATTATTGATGATGAAAGGAAATTGCTGTTATTCAAGGAATTGTCCGGGAAAGAATTGTTGGAGCATTGTGGTAGGATTTGACCCCTTTAGATTTAAAGGAAATTCGATTTTACTAGTTCAGCATTTGCTAATCTATTTTATTAAATAAGCTTTGAAACTATAGGCATTTAAACGAAATTAGTAGAAAAGGTCACTTTCATATGCCTACATTGGATGGCAAAGTGCAATTTACGCTTGAAAACAGGGGTCATACGATTTCAACCTGCTCGGATGAGAGAAGCCTGCGGAATTGAACTTAGGCCCTTTACAACCACCAAATAAAAGTTTACATGTTTACATGTCCCCAGTGTACTGACATAGTTACGTGACATTTAGTCGGCCGCCAGACAATTTTATTACTCTTTCACTGATACAACGCTCCTCTTGAGAGTTGAGGCCTCTTCCGACTTATTGCACTATTAGCAATACCACTCATTCAGAAACTCAAATTCTATCACCCAGTCAATTCAGTAGATCTTGTGACTTTTGATTTTTTAGATGTAATCGATACCGCGATTCGACACTGATGTGCTATTCTGGGCGACAGGGCATCCGTATTGTTGAATATGCACCGATGAGTATTGGCATTATGATATCGATTTCAGAAGAGGTGCTGTTTGAATTGTGCTCCTTTTTTAGTTTTAGTAGATACAAAAAGTATTAAATACCTGATGGGGATAACGAGCAAAAACTCTCAAAAGCCAATGTTGGGGATAATCCAGAGGCTGCAGACTGTTTTGAAGATAGATCCTACTAAATCAACGTGGAAATGCAAAGCTGTTAGCCAAGGCCACTCTCCAAGAGGCACTTTAAGTGGAGAAAAAAACATGTGATCCTGCAGCCAGAACTTAAAAGTACTATTCCCTGACACCAATGACAGGTGGATTTGAATTGAAAACTAACTTATAGGGGGACGCAAACGAATACTCGAACCTCGCAGTGGTTTTAAAAGCTTTTGAAGACAATTGTTCCTTCTGAACTTAACCTCCATTTAGAGAAGGGTTTCCTAGCTGCCAATAATGAAGAAAGAAATTGAATTCTTCCACTTCTGACATTGCTCCAATTTAGGTAATGCGATTAGGCATTCAACTTACAAGGAAGGCTGATGGAAAGGAACAGTGCCTCTGACTCTATTGGCTACAGCTGTTTTCCGGTTTTTGCATGGAATCAAAGTTCTCAAACTTAGCAGGTAGCCAATCAACTCTAAATGTACATCCACAGTACCCCCATATAAGGATAAAAGATTTCTGCCTTATTACCCCCCCCCCCTTCGGTCGAAACAGCCTCTATAATCGAGATGACAAATAACGATCACGAATTAGGTGATAACAACCAGATATCTGCAATAACTTATATTATACTGACAGAGTTCGAAGGATTCCACGCATTACATTTATTTGCAATCAAACCTTCCACAAATTAGAAAACACAACAATAGAAGGCGAATGGGAAAAGAAAGAAATTATAAGAGAAACAGGCATGCCCAATGAAAATGAGAATCTTAACTCACACATATACAGCCATAGTCAATACGCAAACCCCACACAAATATGTACCTTATAGCTTAGAATAGCAGCAGAGCCTATGAAAATGAAGGGCATGATGTGGAAATAAATATAGAGAAGATAGTTCGTTTTTGTTTAACAGATGAGAGAGATGGACAGAAAGCAAACACAAATAGAGTAAGGGCAAAGTGGTGGTCATATAAAGGGAGAGGCTAGGGAAGCAGAAACTACGCATCACCGCCATTTGCCGAAATTGAAGAGGAGTTAGGAATGCTTTGAATGGATCCATTAGTACTTCCAGCACCATTTCGCACCGGCTTATAGGCTTGCATTGAGGGTGGATAGAGGTGTTCGGGAAGGGTGGCAGGCAACTCGTGGTCTTCCAACTTCAATTTGATTAGGTATTTGGCTAACGCGAACTCATCAACAGTCAAGTAACCATCCTTGTCAACATCACTCAGAGTCCAGATACGACGAAGAGTGGCAGCAGGCAGGTGCGACTTGAGCAGCTCAACACGAGCAGTTTCTCCACTCATTTTACCACTCACCGTGTCGAGTTTATTGAAAAGCTGCGAGAGAGAGAGAAAACAAGGTGTTGGCAAAGTCAATAAAAGCAATCTGCTTGCCAATTAAAAAACACATTCAAAGCGCCGTGATTGCTGGGGATTAACCAAAGTGGAACTTGAAAATTGCGAAAAAGGTGGGTTCTGTTGTAAAAAAAGGTAATAGCATTCAGGCGAGAGCCGAGCACTTACAGGCGAAAGAGAGTGCATCAGCGAATACAAATTGATAAAAGTATATTGCTAGTGACACAGATAAGTATACAACAGTTTGATGCCTTCAATTTCTTCTGCTATGAAACGAATAGGAAATTGTTTGTGAAATATGCGGTAGAGCACAAGCAGACATGAAAGAAAACCATCATTTATAGCAAATGACAATCCGCACATAATGGCCCCCAAAGAGATCCTCAAAAGAAATTGTCAAAAAAATAAATAAATTAGGTTCTACTTGAGATGGACAAACTGTTCAACTCGCCATATTTGCAGATACGTATTCTTAATGTAAAATTGAGTATAATCTTTGAAGACAATGGAAATAAGCCACAATAGTTTTTGAGGTTTATCAACAGAATTTGACCTAACATTACTTGATAAATGTGCTGGCGTACAGAAGCCCACCGTATAATGAATATTTAGTTCTGCATAAAGATATATGTCACATAAATGATATTCACGCATTAAAAGAAAAGAGATATAAGTAATACGTCTTCATTTAAACGGCTAAAAAAGGTGAATTATTGGTGCCCCCATTAAAGAAGAAAGTGATGCTTTAATTATTAAAGGGTCTTAATTAAATGACTTAAAATTATGGGCGGAAAGGACTTTTTTAGAATAGGCAAAGAGGGCTGCTATCATTAGATAATAATAGGCGCTTATGCAGCATAGATGAAGGGACTGAATTTTTGAAATGGAATACTCCCAGTATGGCCCAAGATTTGTGACCAAACCTAGCAAACCTGCTCTTACTCATAAGTGCACTTACAGAACCTAAAGGCCATTCAGTCAGAGAAATATCTTCTCTAAAATGTGATTGCTTAAAATGTGGTAAAGAGTACGATTGTAACTTAGTACAAAAACTCTAAAGAGAATGGAGTTAGAAGCACACACACACACACACCCTGATGATTATTCATATTATTACCTTAAAAGAACGAATTTCTAGGCAATATAAAGCCAATAAAACTAAGAAAGAGTCTGCTTAATCATCTGAAACGAGTACAGCGAGCATGACAAATAGGGCTCACTTTAACATGAGCAAAATAAACTGAAAGAAGTGCAAATTCTTCACCTTCAGGTGATTCAAACTTACCCCAAAAAGAGCATTTAATAAGAAATCGAATGGAGCTCTATCCGCAATAAATCACGAAATAGGGTCAAGAGGCCAATTATAGAAGAGATCCGAATAGTTCAACTTTCGAATATGCACTGTTACTCTTATCAATCCAATAGGGCATCTAGTACAGAGAACCAAGCTGTTTACTCTTGGTTGATGAGAAATTGATGGCGTGATCAAATACTTAGGTAAACAAACTAGTCGGCAAGTATCAAATAAGCAGGGATTAAATCAGAAAAAAGGCGAATATTTTAACATTGTAAAATGAAAAAGTTTCTCTGTGAGGAAATTAACAACTATTATATTGACTTCATTGTATGTGTGTAATTATATCCTCCCCAGCATTTCATTCTTAATTGGATAGTTTTGGTACTCCATTTGCTATGACGAAAAATTGGTCCACATTTTCACTATCTTTAATGAGTAAAGAAATAAGGGAGGAGGGGGGGGGGGAGGCTTACCTCAAAAGCTTCAGGAACTTCACGTTCAACAATCCAGGAACACTCAAATTTGCCGCGGTTGATACCTTCAGAAGCTCCATAACCGAAAGGTGTCTCGCAGTTATCGAAAGCACCACCCTCAACACGTGGACGGTAAGCTTCAGAATCAGACCTTTGTTCCTGAAAAAAAGAATTAAAACAACCATTAAAATCATTGTTACTACGCATTATATGGCGAGTTCAGATGACTTTATATTCCCATTTCCGGACGCTCTAAGGTCATACCCAAGCCTTGGCAGATTCGCCCCACTTATGAGGGAACGTGAAAAGGCAATCGAGAAGGGTAAAATGTTACCAACCAATTATACCAGAAAGCAAACCTCAAAATCTACAAATTGACTCTTCTATTACGTTCAGTTGCACCGAATAAACTGGCAGTTAGTAGCTTGAACAATTATTGAGCTAATTTATAGTTCCAGGGAATAGGATCAAAGTGACACCAAGAATTAGAAATGGTGCAACTTTTCTTTCAACGCAATTTAATCCTTCGTTCGAAATTTCGAAGAATGTGCTTTCAATGAGGCCAATTAATCAATCGTAAGTGCGAATAAAAAAGGAGTTAAAACTCCTTAAGTGGAGGTGATGTTTTTTTCGAATTCACTACTACTTTTCGTGAAGGCGTATTGGAAGCCGCTAATCAATTAGAGCAATGGCGATGATGGTTGTGAGCATCAGTGACTAAGATTAGAAACATTTGGGGCAAGAGATCAAATCACCAGAAAATACCACAGTCGATAAAATAAAAACAATAAGTGCAACCCAAATCCGACAATCCTTACCTCACGGGACCTTCTTTTGGACGTCTTTCGTAATAGACGTTCCACAATGCTACGCTTTGAGGTAAGATCTTTCACAGCTATTCTATTCAACTGTGATGAAGGATGGTGAAAAACAGGTTAAGGTACAACTATATATAAATCACAAAGGTAAACGGGTGTTTTTATAAATTTCGCAATAAAAAAATGGTGGAAAGAAGAGGAAATCTTACACTTGGATTTCTACTTTTTAACCAAAATCTTTGAACGATATGACAAATTTAAAGCTAATGAACTCAAGGTCGACTTTAGCGAAACCACAAGGTGACCACACGAGAACTATGAGCTTTGACATTGTTGATGATGATAGCAGTGGGGACCTACGCTTAATCGTGAAATGAAGAGAAAAATAATCACTATGCGCATCTAGCTGTTTGTTTACACAATCTTGTGGAACCGAATCGCAATGAATTACAGTACTGTGATTGTACAGAACGAAAGCGTATAAGAAAATTATCGATCAGCTGCTAGACGTGAGATTAAGCAAAAAGGGAAATTGATAAAGTAACTTTAAACGAGGGTCAAATATGATCCAATGAAGCTCGGAGGAATGTAAGACGTAGTAGGGAAGCGCACATTTAATGACAAATCGAAATCCGAAAGAAAATTTGTGTAAAATATGTATTTTAGGTTATAATTCACGAAAGAAAGCATTAACGTCATGTGACTTAAATAAGAGAAGAGGCACACAAGGGAAGGAGAGGACAGCGCCACCTAGCATTTTCAAATGTGGAAAGTTTTAAGCCTAAGACAACACACTGATTTGTAGATCAACATCTAGGTTTTAGTTTGATTTACAGAAAACTAATAAAAAGAAGCTCAATGAGAAATTGCAACGATCTTTGTCCATAAGTGCAGTCAATTAAGCCTTAAACTAGATGATGGATGGGTAGAGAGGGAGAGAGTTGAGCTAGATTCGAAAATTAAATAAAATTCAAAAATGTTTTGAAACCGAAATCTCAGTGTCTATGTAATTAAGCGACCGCAGCATTTTAAAACGCACAATACTTCTAGTACAAACAATACAGAGAGAGAGAGAGAACACAGTCCCAAATTTGACTACCATGTAAAAACAATCAAAGGCGATGCAAATACCATTAAATTACGGGTAAGTCAACTTCGATTGACCTTAGAGGGATATTAACAACACCGGGTTATTTCGAATTTACTATTTGCCTACCAACTCAACAGGGATAGGCCCGAAATCCATCCATTTTTGACAAGAGATTAGGTTAAATAATCAAAAAATGAAGGGATAAATAAACGAGATGCCCGGGGAGCCTTCACCAAGATACCTACTAACAATTGGTCATAGAATAGTTATTAGGAATTCAGACAGCATGGGTCTACGCGGATGATAACTCAAATGATCGATTTCAAACAGTTGGGAGTAGCCTTTGAAGAAACGGACAAAATCGGATTCAACTAGAGACACTAGAGTACCGTTTATCTCCTACTTACTTTTGACAAACTAGTGACTTAAAAAGGGAGATAACTCACTTGAGGAATAAGTTGCATCAGTTTTGCAATGTCATCAGAGAGCATCTTGTCGACACCAGAAATGAGCTTGGGTTGAAGAGAGCTGAAAGATTTGAAGTCCTGCTTGGACAGTAGCTCCTTCATCTTGTCTATCGGTGGGAAGTCACCAATAGAGATGTGGTGGGTGCGAGAGAGGTTCTCGTAGATTGCTGGCAGGCTGGCAATCAACTCCTTCTTTTTGGTCTCCTTGCCAATCAAAGCGGGCATTTGACGCTTGAGTTCAGAGATGATGTAGGCGTGAACCTTAAAAAGTAAAGAAAAAATAATATTAATCAATCTTCCGCTTGAAAAGCGGTTGTGCTTGATTAATTGAGCACAAGCATTAACCACCAAATATCGCTGTTATATTCAGGTTAAATCAAATCCATAAAGCTACATATTGTGAATATAAAGCACGAAACGACTTGTACCCGACTAGAATTCTGGAAACCAAGTTATTACACTGCATTTGCAGTCGATCATAGCCATGAACAGCAATAAGTTGGATAGAAACATAGATTCACCATAAAGGCTTTCTGATTTTGTGTTTATGGAATGCCATGATGAAACCTTACAATATATTTCAGTCTTTAATGTGAAAGTAATAGGCACCAGATGGCGCTTTAGTCGGTGAGTCTGTGACCGAAGGTCAAAGATGCACATCCAGTGATGTGCAAGGCAAACTAGAACATCCAGCAGGGTGAGAGAATGAGAGTTAGTTAGAACGGCTCCAGAAATCATATCTCACAACTAAGTCAATTGGTGGCAAGACATTTCTCAAAATGTTTGGCATTTATTACTAAATCATAACCTCCAAATGACACAGTATTGATACAAAATGGAACTAAAGTGCGAACAGGATAAAAGAGACGCGCAGAGTTATGTATCAAAATTCAAGATGGACACCACAACTCTTGTTGTAAATGAATGAATGTCAAGTATGTTGGCAATCTTAATAACCCGTACTTATTACTTTTAAATAAATACATAATATTAATTCGCATAGACCTTCTTTCACATTAGCCCCCATCCCTCTGCATCGGTAAATAAAATAATAATAACTTTCAACTCAACAGCCTACCTTAGCAAGTCGAGCTCGACGGATCAGATCATTCAGCTTACGAACGGTGGAATAAGCGGGGAGGCTTTGAAGATCTTGAAAGAGATCAGCTTGTTCCAACTCAAAAAGACGACGGTTAGTATCGAAGTGTAGCTGTTGATCCCAGAAGCTACCAATGTAAACACGAGCGACCTCGGGAGTCCCCAAAATTTTTCCAAGGTTCCACATCAGGGCACCATAGACACGCATGAGTTGTTGAAAATCAACCATGTCAGCCTTATTGAGAACAATACGAACTTTATCCTCGTTGCCCTGGAAAACAATTTGCTGTTAGAAGGGGTTCCAAAAATGCTATCATGCATTGGAGGGTTTCCGAAGAAGCAGCAAAAATTGTTTAAACTTACGTATGGACTACTAGACTACAAAAGTGAGGGGGGGGGAGGTATTACGAATGAAAAAAATGCACCGGTTTACTATAAGGCATCATATAAGATTATCACGAAGAATATATGTACCTTAATAGCCTCGATAACGGATTTGAATTCATCGGAGATGTCCAATTTGTGGGCATCAAAAAGCAGAATGATACGATCGACATGGTGAGCGAACCACTCGATGACACCAGTGAGATCATAACCACGACCAAGTCGTTGCTTTTCACCACTAAGAATACCAGGGGTATCGACCAGAGAAATTCCCTCAAGAACTTTATTGTTCAGAAGAGAACATTGAAAGCGGTTCAAAAAGTTGTTTCCGAAAGATGAGAGGGGGCGGAATTGTTTCTTTGGGTCGACAACAAGAGCATTCCCAGGTATGATAGAGGATTGCTCGCCATGCATGATAGCAATAAACTTGTCAGTGGTGGGTTCAGGGCCAATACGCATTCCCGGAAAGTCTTCTCCAATCAAGTATCGGATGAATGTGGTTTTGCCTGTCGAATATTGACCAACAAGCAAGACCATCGGAGTAGACTCGAAGTCCGCCTGCTCCAAAGCGGGAGAGTGAAACTCATGAAACTTATAAGCCGATTCAAGTGGAAGAAGGTGCTTAAAGTACAGGTTTCTCAAACCATCTATAACGGTTTTGTAAACCAGCTGATCCTTTTGCTTTTTCGATGAGAACAAGCCATCCATTCTACGAAACAAATGTGAAATCGAACACACACGTAACTGTAATGACAGGTAATAGTGATTGGTTAAGAACACTTACATTACTAAATATAAACACAGATAATTTTAATTAAATTTATATTATATTATCAAATAAAATGGCTTATAAAATAAAAATAAATATTTTTACGTGGGGATATATATATATTAAAATTACTAATTTATGTGGATAATTTACTTCCATTGGTAAATTGGCTTAAAGTAAAGCAAATTACTAGATAGCTGCAAAACTCATTTTATATAAATTCAGTAAGAAACATTATGTTAAATTCAAATCTTTTCATTTATTGCAAATAGGAAAAGAACTTAAATATGCTTGATTTCGGAATATTAGTAGTGAAGCACTGAACCCTTTATTCGTATTTTTGTATTTCATTGTTGGAACAGACTCAAAATTCGATAGGCAAAAATTATTTAGATTTGTATTTTCCTATCATAATCATTTTATATTCTTATAAACTAACGTTATCTTGTATCGAATTGATCTCAGGCCTAACAAAAGTATATTAGTTATAATAAAATTTTTAGAAGGTAGTTGACAAATATACAGGACCAAACATTTCTTTCCACAAATCGCCCCTAGCTCACCTTTACTTCATTGGGAAACTATTGTCACTTTCCATCTAATCCCATTACCGGTATGAACAACCGGCTGATAATGGTAAAAGTCGAATCCACGTATTACGACGGATAAAGCAGGAGAAAATTCCTAAACATTTGTATGAAGATGCGCTATTGCAAGTAGCTCCGATCTTGGTGCTCAAGGGCCTCTTCCGAATAGAAAACTGACTAGAAAAGGATTACTTTGGACGCATATCGCGTTTCCACGCTTCGGAATCTTGAAATTGTCAGGGCTAAGCTTTAATCGCTACGCTTCGGATTGATGCGAAGTGATTTAAGATGAATCTAACGATAAAGAATATGGAGAAGCAGATTTCTATTTGGGAAAGCCAAATTAACACCTAATTGATAATATAATCTAAAATTTTCATCTCGTTGAAAGCTGATAATTTATAGAGCCTTCGTTTCGCACATATTGGAGTTTAGCCAAATTTTACCTTAATCTCGTTCTGGGATTAGTAGATGTTTGAGATGGGCAAAACACAATATTTTACACATATCACTCCGTCTTTTTTTGAGAAAATTAAAGCGTAATTTTTTATTATACATATATACCAGGTTAATCGCCTAATAACCACTTTCTCTTGCTGCTGTCGTGACATAGCTCAATCTCCTTCAGTAAGCCACAGTAAATTCTATCGCCACAAATAAATATAAATTAAACCTACAAATCTCATACATTTTCCCATTCCCTCTGAGATTCTATTTATCTTATCTTTATAAATGTGGTACTTCAGAGTTGATATTTTCCGACACTTAGATTTCCAGTGGGGGGTGTGCGATAGACTTGCCTCCACGTGGTGCACCCTGGGCAACGTATACTCATACGGCAAAAAGGTCTATTAACTGGCAGCTGACTTCTGACTTCAAGCTGCCAATACCCCATTGTATGTCATATTCGACTATTTTCACAGTACTCACCTCACCTTTTTTCTACCTTTGTGTTTGTCTCTTACATCTTTGAAACACTCTTCTGTTCCCCCTCTTGATTTTGTTCAACTTGATGTTCCTTCCCCTCTGTGAAGCCTGAAGTCAACTAAATGGCTAATGATAACCATCAAAACGCCCGCCATTTGATATAAATAAATAAATAAATAGATTTCCAGTGGAATTGCATTCATTACACTTACAAGCTGTCAAAGGTACAATGTTAAATCATAAAACTTCATTTTCTTTCGGATACTTAAT